TAGCAAAGGGGAACCCTAATAATATTTGGCAAATAAAAATATCTATTTATATGTGAATGAGACTATTGGCAGTATGTATGTATTTTTTTCAATATGCATTTTTTTATAATTATAATAAGAAAAAATGGGGTAAAATATTTTACTATGCCTAGCAACATTTTCATTATATTGGCGTCTGTCAAATTTATTATTTATTATTTTGTGTTGATGAATGTTTTTTACAAAAATATAAGATGCTAGGCAGTAGTTAAACGTGAAATGAGATTTTTACATTTTTTTCGTGATTATGTGATGAGTTGTGACACCCTTTCACAGTAAAGTACGTCATTTTTTTGAAAAAATGTGCGAGCTGTTTCCATGACTACGTGGACTCGAGTACTAACGCGTCAAAAGTCGTACTTAGCCTTTAAAGGCTAACTTGAAATGGCTTCACTTTGCGTGCGCCTACTGCGGTTCTAAGCCTAATACTTCTATGGTACAGAATATACAACCTAAGACAATTTGTCGATTGGGTTTAGAATCGTTTGGCAGGAATTTGTGGGAGTAAGGTGTTTTATTTGGTAGAGGTTTGGTCCCCGATTATAACAACACCACTCGCATTAAAAGGTAATGCACATGAATCGTTTGGGAGGAGGGGTGCACCTCCTGCCAAACGATTCTAAATTTTAAAAAGGTTATATTAGTTTATTTTTATTTTCTCGTAAACGCGGTATTACATTTTAATACGAGTGGTATTGTTATAATTGGGGATCTAAAATCTACCAAATAAAACACCTTACTCCCCCAAATTCATTCCAATTTTCATTTTCATGCCAAACGATTCCAAATTTGAACCCAATTCGGTCATTAATATGGTAGAGCTACGGAGAGCAGTGATTTTTTTTTTTTTTGATTAAAGCCGCGTATCCACCAAAAATATGGACAACATTTATGTTTCCAACTGTTTACAACTCAACAAAAGTTACCAACATTTGATTCCGATGTTGCCGACAAATGTTTCCAACAAGCGTCTCCACCGAGGGAACAAATGTTTGCAACAAGCGTATTCCTTTGATGTTGCCGCCGAAAATGGAAACACGGTTCCCGACATTGTTTCAAATTTTGTTGCCAACACTAGGTAATTACGAAACATTTGTTACCAACACGTGTTGGCACACGTGAGACGTGGTGCCGTGTAGTGGCGGTCAAGAATATCCACTACCCCATATCCTCCCGTGGGTGTCGTAAAAGGCGACAAAGGGAAACAGCCAGGAGATGGGCAGCAGCATCTTCCTGATAATAGCCAAATGACAATAAAAAAACTGCGGTTGCCAACCCGCTCGCCAAGCGTGGCAACTATGGCAAATACCCCCCAATGATGAGAGCAACAAAAAAACGGCCCCCAGTCCCCGGCGGCCCCGCTATTCCTGGCTACGGTGGCGACCATGGTAACGGCGGGGCAGGGGGTGCTAAGAATCTCCGGTGGAGGTTCGGTTGCCACCTTAGACGACTCGACCTGGCAACGTACAACGCACGCACCCTGAGGACTGATGAGAAGATCGTGGAGCTGGAAGAAGAGATAGACAAGTTGCGCTGGCATATTATAGGATTATCTGAAGTCCGAAGAGAGGGGGAGGACACGGTAATCCTCGAATCCGGCAACTTGCTCTATCACCGGGAGGGCGACCATCTGTCACAAGGAGGTGTCGGATTTATCGTCCACAAGTCTCTCGTTAACAACGTTGTAAAAATCGGGAGTGTGTCGACGAGGGTTGCGTACCTTATACTCAGAATCACCAAACGGTATTCGCTGAAGGTCATACAGGTTTACGCACCAACCTCGGCACACCCCGATGAGGAGGTGGAGGAAATGTATGAGGATATCTCTAGAGCCATGCATTCCTCCAAAACCCAATATACGGTGTTAATGGGAGACTTCAATGCAAAACTAGGCACAAGAGAGAACGGTGAGCTGAAAGTAGGGAAATTTGGAATAGGGCAACGAAACCCAAGGGGCCAGCAGCTGGCCGACTTCATGGAGAAAGAGGGACTCTTTATGATGAACTCTTTCTTCCAGAAGCGGCCCCACAGGAAGTGGACCTGGTCGAGCCCCGACGGTTCCACAAAAAATGAGATTGACTTCATTATGACGACCAGACGACAACTGTTCAGTGATGTCTCCGTGATCGCGAGGGTGAAAACTGGTAGCGATCACCGAATGGTTAGAGGCACACTGAACCTAAACGTTAAGTTGGAGAGGTCTCGTCTAATGAAGTCAACGCTCCATCCCCCTCGTGCTCTGTTTCAAAGTCCCGAAACCTTTCAGCTCGAGTTACAAAACCGTTTTCAGTGCCTAGAAGACTGCAATGAAGTGGACGATATGAATGACAAGCTCGTGGAAACTGTCCATGCGGTTGGAGCTAAGTTCTGCAAGACCCGCCGCAGAAGAACACAAAAACTCTCCGATCACACTCTTAATCTCATGGCTGTTAGACGGGAGATGAAGCTACATTCTTCAACAGACTTGACAGCATACAGGTATCTGAACAGACAGATCTCCAAATGCATGCGGCGGGACTTACGCAACTTCAATACAGCTCGTATTGAAGAAGCGATCGAGCGGAACCAAGGCTCCAAAGTCTTTGCCAGAGATCTGTCTGCCAGAAAGAGCCAACTGTCAAAGCTGAAGACAGAATGTGGCAGTATCGTTTCCGGGACACCTGAGATTTTGAGTGAGATTGAGAGGTTCTATGGGCAGCTGTACACATCATCGTTGGAGCCACACGCAAGTGTGAGTAACGATCCAAGAGCGAGTCTCATCCGACACTATTCCGAAGATATCCCGGATGTCAGTCTGAGCGAGATTAGGATGGCTCTCCAGCACCTTAAAAACGGTAAGGCCCCAGGCGAGGATGGAATTACAGCGGAGCTTCTGAAAGCGGGTGGAAGACCGGTACTTGAAGTCCTTCAGAAGCTCTTTAATTCCGTCCTCCATGGTGGCATTACACCGGAGGCGTGGAGCAGAAGTGCGGTGGTCTTGTTCTTCAAGAAAGGTGACAACGCTCTCTTGAAGAACTACAGACCGATTTCCATTCTGAGCCGCGTCTACGTGCTGTTTTCGAGAGTCATTACGAATCGTCTCGCGCGCAGACTTGACGACTTCCAGCCTCCCGAACAAGCCGGTTTCCGAAAGGGCTTTAGCACCATAGACCACATACATACCCTTCGGCAAGTTGTACAGAAGTCCGAAGAGTACAATTTGCCACTATGTCTGGCGTATGTGGACTATGAGAAAGCCTTTGATTCCGTCGAAATTTGGGCGGTGCTGCAGTCCCTTCAGCGGTGCCAAGTTGACTGTCGGTATATCGAAGTGTTGAAGTGCTTGTACAGTAGGGCTACGATGGCTATCCGAGTACAGAACCAGAGTACGAAACCTATCCAATTGCAGAGAGGTGTAAGACAGGGTGACGTCATATCCCCGAAACTCTTCACCGCTGCATTGGAAGACGTTTTCAAGCTTCTGGACTGGAAAGGATACGGTATCAACATCAATGGCGAGTACATCACTCACCTTCGATTTGCCGACGATATAGTCCTTATGGCAGAATCGCTGGAGGACCTAAGCACTATGCTCAATGACCTCAATAGTGTTTCCCAACGGATAGGTCTTAAGATGAACATGGACAAAACTAAGATCATGTTTAATGTCCATGTCACACCTATGCCGATAGTTGTTGGGAACACTAAGCTCGAAGTTGTTGACGAGTATGTTTACCTGGGACAAATAGTCCGACTGGGTAAGTCCAACTTCGACCGAGAGGTCAATCGACGGATTCAACTCGGCTGGGCAGCGTTCGGGAAGCTACGACACATCTTCTCGTCAGACATACCTCAAAACCTTAAAACGAAATTGTACAACCAGTGCGTGTTGCCAGTGATGACTTACGGAACTGAGACGTGGTCCTTCACTGCTGGCCGTATGAGGAAGCTCAAGGTCGCTCAGCGAGCTATGGAGAGGGCTATGCTCGGAGTTTCTCTGCGTGATAAACTTAGGAATGAGGATATCCGCAGTAGAACCAGAGTGACCGACATAGCCCAACGGATTAGTAAGCTGAAGTGGCAGTGGGCCGGCCATATAGCTCGAAGAACCGACAACCGATGGGGAAGAAAGGTTCTCGAGTGGCAGCCTCGTACCGGTAGGCGAAGTGTAGGGCGTCCCCCCACGAGATGGAGTGACGACCTGGTAAGACATGCAGGAAGTCGATGGATGCAGGTGGCTCAGGACCGTGTTTTGTGGCATTCTTTGGGGGAGGCCTATGTTCAGCAGTGGACTTGTGAAGGGCTGTAATGATGATGATGAATGATGACGTGTTGGCAACACAACAGTTGGTAACAAAACTTTGGTGGAGACCCGGCTTAATAGCGTATAGTACGAACTTAAAGTAGGAATAAGTCAATTCAACCGGGCCTCGCTCGCATAGCATACTAGCGTAAAATAGCACCATAATGCTGTTGTGATAATTTTTACTGTATATTGCTCTTGTTTTGTGTTTCGATTCTTAACCGAGAATAGTTGCAGGTGATTATGAGCAACCATCTGCAATAACTGTGTGCTTGTTTGCGACCCTTACCTACTTGTATAAAATTAATTATTTTATGACTGTGAAAGAAGACTTTAATGAGAAATACTATTACAACTAGTCGAAACGAAATCTTGTTAAACAGTGTTTGCGTGTGTTTTGTAAATGACTACAGAAATACTGATAAATTTATTATAGTGTGATGTACATATTATGTGTTATTTCTTGTTATTAAAAGTTAGTTCTACACAAACTTACAATTAAGTGAGATCGAATTCATTTGGATGCATTGCTTAATCTAAATGGTTCGTTAAATCGATTCAATAATAACAATTATGATTCGATGGCGTTATTACTTTCATATTTTAAGTAGTTTTAATCATAAAATATCCCTCTGAGAAGACATCGGCCGGTGGTCGCGGTAGATGTGAGTGGACACACCTTTTCTCGATAAAGTTATTGTCCAGATCGGTGTAGACTTTCGCTTTGCAGTACAGCCGTCGGTTTGACGAGCAATACCAGCAGATCTTGTTACCGGAGACATGGTGCTTCCAGTAAGTGTACTGACGATGTAGTAGCAGCGGTGTACCGCGTTTTGACATTGTAATCGATGTTTTATGATACTCTGTGAACATATAACCTTATAAGCTGTGATCACAGTACTCATATTTTTATTAAACAAAAAAAACTCGATAAAAAGTAAAAGCCGACTTCAAAGAACTAAAAAAATTATATAATTTAACATACTGACGTTGGTGCTATGACATAGTATATCAGAATTAATACCCTGACTTTAGAATGTAAAATTAATTAATTCTTCTTTTTAATTTCTTGGGGAGCGAGTAGCCTACAGCAGTTTTTTATTTTTAGTAGTTACTAGCTGTTCCCCGCAACTTTGCCCGCGTGTAATCTAGGGTTTTAATTATTTGGGAGGAACCCTACTTATTTTTCTAACATAAAATTAGCCTAAGTTACTTTTTATGACATCAGCTATCTGCCAGTGAAAGTCCCATCATAATAGGTTCAGCCGTTTCGGAGATTAGCCGTAATAAACAGACAGACAAAAATTTTAAAAAGTGTTTTTTTTTTATAAGTACCGTTTATACTTTCATATGCATTTAGTAAAACGCTGTAACTTTTACATTACAAACAGACACTTCAATTTTATTTATTTGTATAGATTAGGAAGACGCTTAGAGTATATAGCTTGCTTATAAAGAAGAAAGAAGAAAGAAAGAAAATAAGTTTATTTAGTAACACATTTTAGAAGTTTGCTAACCATAATAACATATTAAGATAAACGGTTACTAAAAAGGTACCCAACTCAGCATAGTCTTGGTACTAACAAAGTACTTCGACACTGATCTTCCGTGGGTGCCGATAACATTTAACAAAAACAAAACTTAACAATATTCATTATTATACAATGTTTAGTCAATATGAAAATACAGTATATTTAAATCATATACACGATTACACTAATAATAATAAGTAATAAAACATACATAAGTACTTATAATAAATTAATATAATATAAATAGCAATTACTTAAATAAGATTAAAAGGAAACGAATAAACGGAATAGCAAAGTATGTAAGACACAGTAAATAATTTTCAATAAATTGACTTTTGAATATTGAGTAAGTATTTTTTGTAGTTATATTTAAACAAACCGATTGAAGCTTGATTTCTAATTGGTGGTGGAATGTTGTTCCAGCATTTCGTGGCATAATAACGAAAGCTACCTCGAAATGCCGATGTACTGTTTCTTGGACATACTAAACGAGTTGCTATTCTAACCTGTCGCTGTGAAAAGTCTAATTTGTTATAAAGATACTGTGGTGTGTGTGTCATTATGATACCAAATGCTCTAAGAGAAGGCGCTGCTGCCCGTATCCAGGTTTGTTTACCTCGGTCGCCTCTTACGAAACCCACGGTATGATATGGGGTAGTGGATATTCCGACTTCAGTAAGTGATGTTATTTTTTTGTTTTTAGTTCTTTGCCCTTTTACCCTTTTGAATGGACTAAGAAAAATCACAAGCTCAAATGTCGTCTACTATAAAAATTTCGTCCCCTATTTTTCCTGAGAGGAGGTGGTATTTTATTACAAATTTATATAGTCTATACACCACATAATAACCTATTTAATAAAAAAATCATTATCGAATATATCGCTTAAAATAGATACAAAAAAAACTTACAGTCGAATGGGGAACCTCCTCATTTTTTGAAGTCTGCTAGAAATGTTTCGAAGTACGAATTAAGTTTACCTATAAATTGAGGTACAATTGGTAAGAAATAAACTTGGGTTTTTGTATTTTATTCAAGACTGTATTCGGTTTTCCGTAGCTAGTATAGAAATATAACTTAAATTTCAAAATCTTCGAATAAAACGAGCTGATTATCTTCAAACGGCTGAAAATATTTCGTTAGCTAAGAACACTCGATCAAGTCATCTTTCAAACGAAAAAAAAACTTAACCTAAACCGGTTCATCCGTTAGGGAGCTACGATGCCACACACATCTGTGTGTATCTACATACCTTAAACATATAACACCCCTCTTTTTCGTCGGGGGTTAAAAATACAGTAGTTGTACTGTGTAGTGTATATTTCACTCAATCCATAATGAAATAAAACGACACGCAAGGTTAACTGGTAGAGAATGTCAAAAGATAAGGTTTGTATTGCAAAATTACAATTAACAATCAATAAATAAAAAGAAGAAGTGGAGAGTGAAAACATAAAACAAACAGTTATGAAATATAAGTAGAAATTTATTTCAAGATTCACTTAAAAATATCTTACATTTACATATGTTAAAAATTGTAATTTTATTATAATTATTAAAAAATACGTAAATAAAAATTCTAACAAACATTAACTGTAAAAGCAAGCCTTTAAAAAAAACTTTAAAGTACTCTAACAAGCCTGAGATAATCTTTTAACCAGATTGAAAGTCCATCAGATTTATTGCTTAGTTTATGGTAACATAAAAATGGGAAAAAAAATATTAAATCACACTTACATTTTGTAATAGTTGATAACTTTATACCTGCGTAATAATAATCTGTATATAAAATCGAGAAAATTTTAAAATATACGACTTAATTTATGTTACATAATTAAGGAAAACATAAAAAATAGTGCCTGTGCTTCGAATCCATTTCAACTTCACAGTTTTGCCATAGACCCTGAATGACAATTTACTAAAAGCGAGTCGAAAATGCATTCGTGTTTTTTATATTAAAATACTTTATAAATATGATAATGAAATAAAATAAACAATACATCGCAGTGTATAATATTTAAGTTCACGGTTAACTTATTAAAAGCATATTATATTAAAATTCTACAACTTAATTTTATACCCGTTTGCTTGTTTCCTAAAATTCATACGTACGGCTGCAATATCATACTTATTTCTTAAAATTAATACGTGCGACTGCAATATCATACTTATTTCTTAAAATTAATACGTGCGACTGCAATATCATACTTATTTCTTAAAATTAATACGTACGACTGCAATATCATACTTATTTCTTAAAATTCATACGTACGGCTGCAATATCATACTTATTTCTTAAAATTAATACGTGCGACTGCAATATCATACTTATTTCTTAAAATTAATACGTACGACTGCAATATCATACTTATTTCTTAAAATTCATACGTACGGCTGCAATATCATACTTATTTCTTAAAATTAATACGTGCGACTGCAATATCATACTTATTTCTTAAAATTAATACGTGCGACTGCAATATCATACTTATTTCTTAAAATTCATACGTACGGCTGCAATATCATACTTATTTCTTAAAATTCATACGTACGGCTGCAATATCATACTTATTTCTTAAAATTCATACGTACGGCTGCAATATCATACTTATTTCTTAAAATTCATACGTACGGCTGCAATATCATACTTATTTCTTAAAATTCATACGTACGGCTGCAATATCATACTTATTTCTTAAAATTCATACGTACGGCTGCAATATCATACTTATTTCTTAAAATTCATACGTACGGCTGCAATATCATACTTATTTCTTAAAATTCATACGTACGGCTGCAATATCATACTTATTTCTTAAAATTAATACGTACGGCTGCAATATCATACTTATTTCTTAAAATTAATACGTGCGACTGCAATATCATACTTATTTCTTAAAATTAATACGTACGACTGCAATATCATACTTATTTCTTAAAATTCATACGTACGGCTGCAATATCATACTTATTTCTTAAAATTAATACGTGCGACTGCAATATCATACTTATTTCTTAAAATTAATACGTACGACTGCAATATCATACTTATTTCTTAAAATTCATACGTACGGCTGCAATATCATACTTATTTCTTAAAATTAATACGTGCGACTGCAATATCATACTTATTTCTTAAAATTAATACGTGCGACTGCAATATCATACTTATTTCTTAAAATTAATACGTACGACTGCAATATCATACTTATTTCTTAAAATTCATACGTACGGCTGCAATATCATACTTATTTCTTAAAATTAATACGTGCGACTGCAATATCATACTTATTTCTTAAAATTAATACGTACGACTGCAATATCATACTTATTTCTTAAAATTCATACGTACGGCTGCAATATCATACTTATTTCTTAAAATTAATACGTGCGACTGCAATATCATACTTATTTCTTAAAATTAATACGTGCGACTGCAATATCATACTTATTTCTTAAAATTCATACGTACGGCTGCAATATCATACTTATTTCTTAAAATTCATACGTACGGCTGCAATATCATACTTATTTCTTAAAATTCATACGTACGGCTGCAATATCATACTTATTTCTTAAAATTCATACGTACGGCTGCAATATCATACTTATTTCTTAAAATTCATACGTACGGCTGCAATATCATACTTATTTCTTAAAATTCATACGTACGGCTGCAATATCATACTTATTTCTTAAAATTCATACGTACGGCTGCAATATCATACTTATTTCTTAAAATTCATACGTACGGCTGCAATATCATACTTATTTCTTAAAATTAATACGTACGGCTGCAATATCATACTTATTTCTTAAAATTAATACGTGCGACTGCAATATCATACTTATTTCTTAAAATTAATACGTACGACTGCAATATCATACTTATTTCTTAAAATTCATACGTACGGCTGCAATATCATACTTATTTCTTAAAATTAATACGTGCGACTGCAATATCATACTTATTTCTTAAAATTAATACGTACGACTGCAATATCATACTTATTTCTTAAAATTCATACGTACGGCTGCAATATCATACTTATTTCTTAAAATTAATACGTGCGACTGCAATATCATACTTATTTCTTAAAATTAATACGTGCGACTGCAATATCATACTTATTTCTTAAAATTCATACGTACGGCTGCAATATCATACTTATTTCTTAAAATTCATACGTACGGCTGCAATATCATACTTATTTCTTAAAATTCATACGTACGGCTGCAATATCATACTTATTTCTTAAAATTCATACGTACGGCTGCAATATCATACTTATTTCTTAAAATTCATACGTACGGCTGCAATATCATACTTATTTCTTAAAATTCATACGTACGGCTGCAATATCATACTTATTTCTTAAAATTAATACGTGCGACTGCAATATTGTACTAGTTCACATTTTGCAGATAAAATATGTATAAGCTTACAGGTCACAGTCGTCCATAGACTTCTGCAACCAACCTTAAATAAACTAAATTTTAGCCTTAACTTTAACGTAATTTGAATAACCCGGTGTTTATTTATTTATGATACTCCAACACATACTCAAATTTTAATATTTTAAAGCCTAATACAGAAATGAGCACCCATAGTAAGTGAATATAGCATTATTATAGTAATACGATTTACATTTTTTGTAGGTATTAATTACAAACTATTAGTATTTTTAGTGTTAATTCAAAGTAAAACCTTATTTAAATTGGACACTAGTTAATATATTATTACAATACAAATAATTCTTAAAATAAAATTTACCCGGTAATAAAATATTCAATTATCTGTTAATTAACTGTGATATGGCAATAATTATAACCATAATTGAAACAACAACTAGGTGTAGCCACAATTTATGGTCATAATTTTACAATGTCAATCAATATGGTGGTATAGATGACACTAGGCACACTCTTCGTCTTTTTCGGATATTAAAGAAGATTAGCGTGGTAATTTTGCGTTAAGTGGCTACACTACAATTTGCTCAGTGTGCCACATGGGTTCAACGGAAAAGATTAACCTATTACGCTTCCTGTGCATTTTTATTATCCACCATCTTCTTTTAAGTCTTGGTTTAGCTTTGTTAAAATGAAAAATATTTATATAATAGTAACTGACAATCATAAAGTACAACATCGCCGCAGATTTAACCTCCGCTTTTTGAAAAATGTTATTTTTTCCGCCTAGTTCGTGACAATTCATATCTAGGTAAATTCTAGTGTAGGAGTAGGCGTATTTTTCGTAACAGTTAAAAAAATTGGTATCTTAAAATGGCAGACTGTTACTGTGACAACAAACTGAAAGAACAGCTCCTGTTCCACGAGATAACAAATCCACTAAAAGACAGTCACAAGTTTTTCTTTATTCATACATATGACAGTTACTTTTGTTTAACTGTGACACCCTATTTCTCGCATAGGTTCAACACCTTAGTTAGAAAGAGAAGTACCCTATGGAAGTATCTTAAAATAGCAGCCTGTCACTGTGACAAATTGAAAGAACAGCTCCTGCTCCGCGAGATAACAAATAATTATACAACAGTCACAAGCTTTTCTATAGTCATACATATGACAGTTACCTTTATTAGAATAAGATAAAAAATGTTAGTGTTACACTGTGACACCCTGTTACAGATGTCACAAGCTCTGTCCTTTTCTCGGATAGGTTCAATACCTTAGTTCGAAAGATAAGAACCTACCAAGAATGTAGTAACAGACTGCTATTGTGTAACAGGTTTTTGGACCTGCTATTTATGTGGAACTAGAACAGGCGGAACAAATATGCAATTTCACCTGCTACAGCCCACTCCTACTCTAGTGCAACCACACTACTTCACGCGATAATTTAGGCAGTAATTTAATGCCATAATTATTGCGTTAAACGGTCAATAGACAGTATGGTAGTGTGGCCGTAGCTTTACTACACTTCATTGCGTAGTAGTAAAATAGACATGCTTAGGCTTAGTATCCAAATCTGGATGTTTGTGCGAATGTTCGCCTTTACTGACTACCACGCTCAAATTGTCATCGGTAGTTATTGACGCCTTGCAGTCTTCGGTTTTCTTGGCTGTACATTTCCAAACGATGCCCTTCTTTGATTTTGCACTTCTTGTATACAAGAAGTTTTTATACAACAAGGTATATGTGCCCTTTTTGTTCCCTTTTATTAGTACAGGCTCTGAAAAGGAAACTTCATTGTTATAATTACTTGTAATTTAGATTAAAACATTTTAAGCAAAATAAATGTAGTGCCCACAATACTCAAATGCTGCTCAATTTTAGCTGTCTCTATCACTTTAAATTAAAATGACAGTGACACCAAGAGACTTAACGACATCTTAAAACTTAGTAGCGTTTGAGCAAGAGGCCTTAGGTGTCATAAATTATCAATACAAACGAGTATATGCAGTAAGTTTGCACATTTTATTAATTTTATATTTAGTAGAAAAAACATTGAATATATATTTTATTACTATAAAGCGAAAACTGGGGGCTCCTTTGAAAACAGATATATCTACTTCTAATAATAATTTCAAATAAAAAATATCAGTCATAAGGAAAAGGAACAGGAAAATCCAGAAGGAAGTCTATACAAGGGAAATAATATAAAAAAGAAAACGATATAGTATCAAAGAAATGTTTATTATTTTTATTTTTAAACTATATGTAAATGTAAACACGAGTACATTCTAAAATATATGTAGACGTGACATAAGGTTAATATACTCTGTCTTAAATATTATAAAAAATAAAAAAGCGTATGTTATTATACTAACGACTCGTTCCACTTGACGGATTTGATTTTTTAAAGCCAATGGCTATCACCGAAAATTTAATAGCAAATATAAGAAAGTTTCGGGTGAACTTAACTCTGAAGGAAAAGATTGTTTAGGAACTTTCAGACTAAATTTCAACAGTATACTAAAAAGTTCGTTACACGAAAGTTCCCTCCGATTACGAGAGTTGGCGGTGGGAAAAATGATATCGGGACTAGGGATGTCGGGTT